GATGTATTGTTTTCCACAGCTACATTCGAGTAGGTAGACAACATGAGTACTATAGCATGTTATAACTGTTTGGACCTCATAGGTTTTCCCAGTGGCGTTTGATCTGAAACTTTTAATTGTTTTTTTGTGAATCCCCTTGTGTGTGCATAGCATACAGCGATTGCAAGGATAAAAGCCTTTTTGATTTTGGTTAAAATTAAAAGAAGGTTGTCTTGGGGAGTCGACGACATTTGGTGCTAACATATTTCTCAACTGGGGGGCTTTGCGGAACGTAATTTCCGGATGTTCCGGTAAAACCTCTCCCAGTATGGGGTCATTTTTGAGTATAGGCCAGTGTTTCTTGATGATTCTGGAGACCTTCTTATACTGGACAGAAAATTGAGTGATGAAAGGACAGAATCTATTGTTATACTGTTTATCTTTGGGAATGAAGAGATTCTCTCTATCTAGTTTACCCACCTCTTCAATTTCTTTCTCTAGGATACCGCTATCGTAGCCTTTTTCCACAAACCGTAATTTGAGTATATTGGCTTGTGCGTTATAGTCCTCCAATTTATTGCAATTTCTGCGTATCCGCAGAAACTGGCCTTTCGGAATCCCATTCAGCCATCTTGGATGATGGCAGCTGTTTTTTGGAATGAAACCATTCCGATCTGTTTTTTTAAAAAAACTTTTAGTTAAGATAGTATTGTCTTCAATAAAAAGTGTTAGATCTAGAAAATTGATTTCCGAATAACTATATTCATATGTCAGCTTAATGTTAAGATTATTAAAATTTAAAGTTTTAAAAAAGTTTTTTAAGGAATATTCATCGCCCTTCCATAACAATAGAATGTCGTCAATATAGCGTCTGTAGAACACAAGGTCCGGCCAGTCTCTGGAATAAATAATTTCTTCCTCCCAGTTTGCCATAAACAGGTTAGCTAGGCTGGGGGTAAACTTTGCCCCCATAGCCACGCCCGTAATCTGCAGGTAGTATTGTTCTCCAAACCAAAAATAATTGCGCTTCATAGCGAAGTCCAGAAGTTCTAGTAAGAAGTCCTTTTGTAGCGGTGGGATATCTCGTGCTATATTTAAATATGATTTGGCCGCTAGCATTCCATCAGAATGTTTGATGTTGCTATACAATGAAGCCACATCGGCCGTTACAAGATAAGTGGTGGTTGTTGGATCCTGATGGTTTTCAGGTCTGTTATTACTTGTTTTGTATCTTTCAGAAAGGCCGGTGTGTTAACTACCAATGGCTGCAGGAAAAAATCTATATATTGTCCTATTCGTAAGGTCAATGAGCCTATGCCACTTATTATAGGTCTACCTGGGGGTTTAACTGGGTTCTTGTGTATTTTTGGTAAACTGTAAAAAACCGGTAGCCTCGGTGCTATAGGGCACAGGTAATCCTTCTCCTTTTTATTCAAAATTCCCGTTTCATGCCCTCTTTTTAAAAGACTTTTGAGCTCCTTTTTATAGGGTATGAGGGGGTTACCTTGTAATATTTTGTAAGTAGTATCATCATTCAGGATATCATATGCCTGCGTGAGATAATCTTTTTTATCCAGAATAACCACTCCTCCACCCTTGTCTGCTGATCGAATCACTAGATCTTTCTCCTTTAGTAAATCCTCTCTCATTTTTTCAGTTTCTTTAAGGCCTTTCATATTCCAATTCTTTATTTTTAAATTATCTAGGTCTTTAAGGACCATGTTTTTAAAAATGTTAATGTGAGAGTGTGCTTGAGGGTTGAAAAGAGAAGCATTTTTTAGGTGAGATGTTTTAATACTCCCCTGGGTTTGAATTATGCTTTGTCCTGTCAAAGGTGTATTGAGAAAATGTCTTTTTATGGCTAGACGTCTAGTATATTTGTGAATATCAATGAAGGTGTTAAATTTGTTAAGGTTAATAGTAGGTGCAAACTTTAGGCCTTTGTTCAGTAGAGTCAACTCTTTATTAGTTAACTCTTTAGTACTTAGGTTAAAAATACCTTCCTTAGTTACATCCTTCGTTTTTTGTCTATGGAGCCTCTTTCCTCCTCTCCTTCCTCTGTTCTTATGTTTCTTTTTTGTGTTTGGCCTTGTCCTAAAAAACGGTGGTCACCCTGTTGTACCTGATGAGTTCTAGGTTGATACTCCTCGTTTGGGTGTCCCATATGGTGATAATTGTGGTTTGGGATATGGTAAATCGTCATATTGATTACCATAGTTATTAGGCATATGTTGGGTGGGATAACCTCTGCTAGGGTAATTTTGATATGATTGTTTATACCCTGATGGGGATTGTTGATACGGGTAGTTGTTATAATATTGGGTTTGATTCTCGTAGTTATTTCGATGTTTGTTATTGTGCCCATTATTGTAAGGTTTCCTTTGATTTTGATTGTAAGGTCTATAGTTTCTGTTGTTTTGAGATGAATTATTGGTATCTCTAGGGTGTGTTCTCATATCTCGATAGCCTATAGAGGGGCTATAAGAGTTGGCTAGTGGTGTAGATCTATTTCTAGTGGAAATATTGGGTGTGTAGTTGTTGGTTGTTATATGCTATTAGCACTGTAATATTGTGCCTTCAGCATGAGAGAGAGGTGAAAGTAGAGTGTCTATTCATACACTCTGTCTGTTCACTTCCCATGTCTGTAAATAGAAGCTTCAATACTCATTGAGCTTCAACAAATGGCCGCCGCGGGCGCGAACTGCGCATGCGCGAACGGCGGGAACGCCGATTACATTTGAATGTGCTACTATATATATACTTGTTCAGTCACTGAGGGGGCCAGCTTTCTTTGAGAACGTGCGTGGCACGAAACATGTCAGATAGCTGCCCTCAGTGACTTTCTATCCACGTGGACCTCTTCTTGTCTGGCCAATGGGCCCCTTTTTTGCATATTATGTGAGTTATATTTTATCATTTTACTGCAAATTCTAAATAAAGTAATGCTGCACTTAGATATTTTTGTCCTCTGGCTCATTTTTGCTTGAGCCAATTTTCCCCAAGGAAACTATTGGATACTCTCCCGAGCTCTTTTTCCCCCTGGTGGTTGGCGAACATACTATATGCTTTGGGATACCTGGTCTGAAGTGATCCTGGTTGCTGGCTCCCTCCGGTGGTCTTCAATCATACCCCTGCCATTTGGAAATCCTGCTGTAATGCTGCGATAGATGTTGCCATAATCAGAACACCTGGGTCCAGATGCTCACACCTAGATGATCTCATCATCTACATGCGTTTATATAGCGCTATCTGGTTAGTGCATATTATTTTCTTTTCTTCACCATTTGATGTCACGAATATATTGAAGTTTGCTACAAACAGACTGTCACTCATCCTCACGTTTGAACTTGGGAAATCCACTCATGAACTTATCCATGCTTGGCGATATATAGCCATGTGCGTTATGCACCATTTTGCACATATATAAGCATATTTCTCAAATTCGAAGTAATATACATGCGTTTGGTATTTTGTTTGTTTTATATCATATAGGAGCGCTGCATGCTTGTTTTATATATTGATGTCATCCTAAGAGGTTTTTTGAGGTTTTACCCTTTTATGCTAAGCTGCTCCACTATATAGATCTAGCGCTCGTTTTTCTTAGATGTGTGTTTGTTACCATCAGTAACACACTACGCCGCCAGGGATTCAGATCCTGCAGTGCCAGACGTGTCCCCCTGCTTAAGCCAGTACATGTCCTGGCCCGTCTGAAGTTTTCTAGAGAGCATTTGGATGATCCAAAAGAGGATTGGGAGAATGTCATATGGTCAGATGAAACCAAAATAGAGCTGTTTGGTAGAAACACAACTCGTCGTGTTTGGAGGAGAGAGAATGTTGAGTTGCATCCAAAGAACACCATACCTACTGTGAAGCATAGGGGTGGCAACATCATGCTTTGGGGCTGTTTCTCCGCAAAGGGACCAGAGCGACTGATCCATGTACAGGACAGAATGAATGGGGCCATGTATCGTGAGATTTTGAGTGCAAACCTCCTTCCACCAGCAAGGGCATTGAAGATGAAACGTGGCTGGGTCTTCCAACATGACAATGATCCCAAACATACCACCAGGGCAACGAAGGAGTGGCTTCATAAGAAGCATTTCAAGGTCCTTGAGTGGCCTAGCCAGTCTCCAGATCTCAACCCCATAGAAAACCTTTGGAGGGAGCTGAAAGTCCGTGTTGCCCAGCGACATCCCAAAACATCACTGCTCTAGAGGAGATCTGCATGGAGGAATGGGCCAACATACTAGCAACAGTGTTTGCCAACCTTGTGAAGACTTACAGGAAACGTTTGACCTCTGTTATTGCCAACAAAGGATATATAACAAAGTATTGAGATGAACTTTTGATATTGACTAATTACTTATTTTCCACCATAATTTGCAAATAAATTCTTTCCAAATCAGCTAATGTGATTGTCTGTTTTTTTTTCTCATTTTGTCTCTCATAGTTGAGGTCTACCTATGATGCCAATTACAGGCCTCTCTCATCTTTTTAAGTGGGAGAACTTGCACAATTGGTGGCTGACTAAATACTTTTTTGCCCCACTGTATCTATTTGTATCCGAAAAAACCATCTGTATCCAAAATGGATACAAATAGATACAATGTTGCATCTGCAAAACTTTTTAATGTCAAATATAGTAGCGGGGCTCTCTGCAGGGACAGAAGTAATTAAATGCTGGCCGTAGACGGGAAGAAAAAATGGGACAATTTTTTTTACTGTTGGTGGTAACGTCGGCCTATTGAACGACCGATTTTTCATTTTTTTGGTAAAAAAACGGCGGCGGTTTTCTCCCCTGCATAAATTTTAATAAAATTTTTTTAATAAAAATCGGATGATTTTGCAGATCGGCCGATTTTCGAGGCAAAAAATCGGCAAATCGGTGGATCTTTTTACAGATAAAAAATTTGCGCATGAGCCGTGACCTGCAAGAAAAAGAAGAAGAAGAAAATGAAAAAGAAGAATAAGAAAAAGAATAAGAATAAGAAAAAGCAGAAAAAGAAAAATGCAGACCATAGACGGGGCGAAAACTGGCTGTTTAAAAAAAAAAAAAAAAAAATCGGTTGTTCAATTGGCCGACCTTACCACCAACGGTAAAAAAAATTGGCCGATTTTCGCCCCGTCTACGGCCGGCAAATATAATAGCGAAGTAATTACTTCTGTCCCTGCAGAGAGCTGCGCTATTATATTTGACATTAAAAAGTATAGAGGTTGCAACATTGTATCTATTTGTATCCAAATAAAAACATCTATATCCGAAATGGATGTCAGGGACCGCCGCGGCTCCGTCCCCGGCGCATGCGCACTAGCGGCGGCTCACGCCGGGACACAGGCACCAGATCCCAGCGGGCCACGGCTGACAGGAGGCCGCTCATGCGCAGTAGGAGCCGCGGGCGCGCCTGGGGAGGCCAATGACAGCCCGGGGGTGCGTCCTGGGCGGCCAATGACAGTGCAGGGCGCGATATTTAAAGATGCCCTGCACTGTCACAAATCGCCGCAAGGTCTGATCTGTTACCTGTAGTTACCTGTGCCCTGTGATTAAAGACCCGGATTGTTTGACCTTCTGCCTGCTCCAGCCCTGACCCGGATTATCTGACTACGCTGCCTTCTCCTGTGTTTGACCCGGATTGCCCCTGACTATGCTGCCTTCTCCTGTGTTTGACCCGGATTGCCCCTGACTACACTGCCTTCTCCTGTCCCGACCCCCGGCTTGTTTGACCATTCTGCGGACTGACTCTGGTAACTGACCCTGCGTGTGACCTGACCACTCTCTGCCTGTCATCTCTGTACCTCGCCATTTCCCACGGTGACAACCACCGGTTTATCCTGCCTGGTCCTGCCGGCCTCCTCACATCTGGCTCTATTCGGTCTTACTCTCATCCCCGGAGGCTCCCTCTGCCACTGGTGGTGTTGCTCGGAGGTCGTGACCTGGTCCTGGTTCTGCTCCAAGTCCATCCACACCATCAGGGGCCCTGGTGAAAATGCAGACCGGGACTTAGACTCCACGCTCCGGGTGATTCCGCCTAGTGGGCTGCCAGAGGTACCACCTGGCGGATCCGTAACAATGGATACAAATAGATACAATGTTGCAACCTCTATACTTTTTCATTTCAAATATAATAGCGGAGCTCTCTGCAGGGACAGAAGTAATGTTTCAGCTGTCAGCGGGGTTCACCACTGACAGCTGAATTTTAAATAATTTCTGTCAATTAAATAAATAATAAAAAAAAAATCAGCGTGGGGTTCCCCCCAAAATCCATACCAGGCCCTTATCCGAGCATGCAGCCCAGCAGGTCAGGAAAGGGGGGGGGCGAGCGCCCCCCCTCCTGAACCATACCAGACCACATGCCCTCAACATGGGGAGGGGTGCTTTGGGGCAGGGGGCCTCCCCCCCCAAAGCACCTTGTCCCCATGTTGATGGGGACAAGGGCCTCTTCCCCACAACCCTGGCCGGTGGTTGTGGGGGTCTGCGGGCGGGAGGCTTATCAGAATCTGGAAGCCCCCTTTAACAAGGGGGCCCCCCAGATCCTGGCCCCCCCCACGTGAATGAGTCTGCGGTACATGGTCCTGCGGTACTCATTCACAAAAAAACAAAGTGTTGTGTAAAAAAAAACACAGTACAGGGTCTTTGACAAGTCCTTTAATAAAACAATGTCCCCCGAAGTAGATCCAACGTCAATCACGGACGGCGGCGGCGATCCGAAAAAAGAAAAAAAAAAGTTCCAGTCCCGTCAGAGGCTTCCAGCCTTATGAAGAAAGTCTCGCTGACAGCTCTTAAATAGGTTAGGGGCGGGGCCAGCCAGGGACATCATCCGATTGACCCTGCCCCATGTGACATCATTGATGTCACATGGGGCAGGGTCACTCGGATGATGTCCCCGGCTGGACCCGCCCCTTACCTATTTAAGAACTGTCACCCTGTCTCTCCACTGAGGCTAACCAGCTTTATGTAGGAGACAGTCTGACAGTTCCTATATAGGTAAGGGGCGGGGCCAGCCGGGAAAAGCAAGCATGTGACATGGGGCGGGGTCACTCGGATGATGTCCCCGGCTGGCCCTGCCCCTTACCTATATAAGAACTGTCAGAGAGCGATTCACTGCATAAGGCAGCTAGCCTCTGCCTAGAGCGGAGCTTCTTTTTTTTTTTTCAGGTCGCCGTGATTGATGTTGGATCTACTTCGGGGGACATTGTTTTATTAAAGGACTTGTCAAAAACCCTGTACTGTGTTTTTTTACACTACACTTTTGCTTTTTTTTGTGAATTAGTAGGGGTACCATGTACCATAGACTCATTCACGTAGGGGGGGCAGGATCGGGGGCCTCCTTGTTAAAGGGGGCTTCCAGATTCTGATAAGCCCCCCACCCGCAGACCTCCACAACCACCGGCCAGGGTTGTGGGGAAGAGGCCCTTGTCCCCATCAACATGGGGACAAGGTGCTTTGGGGGGGAGCCCCCCCTGCCCCAAAGCACCCCCCCATGTTGAGGGCATGTGGCCTGGTATGGTTCAGGAGGGGGGGGGGCGCTCGCTCGTCCCTCCCCTTTCCTGACCTGCCGGGCTGCATGCTCGGATAATGGTCTGGTATGGATATTGGGGGGGACTCCACACTGTTTTTTTTTTAAATTTCGGCGTGGAGTTCCCCCTTGACCTGAAGGGCTTGGTATGGATGAGAGGGGGGACCCACGCTGTTTTTGTTTTTTTGTTTTTTTTTTTTATTGCGGACCTTTACATTCAGCTGTCAAAATAAATATTATCTAGATCTTCGAAATAAGTAAATTCATTACAGAAATAATTATAAAGGATAAGAAACAAAAATAGAATCACTAGAACTAAGGAAATCAAATTAGAATACATAAAGATTTGCCTAGTGCTGTTTGTTAAACACAGTAGACGCGAACCAGTGCCGTCTGTCAGAGGACTCCACACTGAGATTTACTATTGAGCAGTGGCTAAAAAGCAAGCGCCCACAGAGGACGTCTAAAATGTGTTCTGCACATGCGCATTTATATCAGCCAAATAAACTGCACGAGCGTCTAGTTTTTCACTGTGTCGACTTGCTTAAAAAAAAAAAAAACGTTTTAACACATTTTAATTTTTTTTTTGAAATGGCAGATATTGTTTAAAGTGAAGTCCTGATATTTGGCAAAGCAAATTTCAAAGTGAACATGTTTCTGCAGTGATTTTTCGTAGTGTTAGACATACCTCTTACCAAGTCTGCTTTGTGAGTCTGATTCCTGGTGTGTGTCTCATTAGTAAATTCGATTGGGCGTCTACTTGTTGACGCTACTCAATAGTAAATCTCTTAGCGGGGTAAAAGTAGACGGTCGCTCGTAAAAATTAGACGTTCGCCCACGGAAATGCGCCCAGGCACAATAGTAAATCAGGGTCATGGTGTCATACTCTAATCAGATCATTAACTTAAAACACCTGTAAAGGTTTCCTGAGCCTTTAAATCAGCGGTTCTCAACCTGGGGGTCGCGACCCCTTTGGGGGTCGAACGACACTTTCCCAGGGGTCGCCTAAGACCATCGGAAAACACATATTTCCGATGGCCTTAGGAACCGAGACACCGCTCCTTGATCCGTCTGCAGGTGTGGGCGGGATGACATGCCGTCCCTGTCATCTGGACACACCCCCCGGGATCAATCCTTCCTCGTCGGTGATTGGCCGCCGGAACTGTAGCTCAAGAGAGGCAACAGGCGGCCAATCACCGGCGAGGAGGTGGAGCTTGGAAAGGAGGAGCCGAGCGGCACCGCGAAGCACGAGCGAGTGAAGAGGAGGAAAGCGGCCGGAGAAGGAAGCCATCTGACCGGTAAGTGTTTGTACCTTGGGAGAGGGAGGGAGCGAGCGAGCCCAGGCTGGAGCAGGGGTCAGCAAGGTAAGTATCATTGGTGTCAGTGGGAGGAATAGTGCCCAATCATTGGTGTCACTATTACCAATGATGGGGCACTATTCCTCCCCCCACTGACACCAACGATGGGGCACTATTCCTCCCCACTGACACCAACGATGGGGCACTATTCCTCCCACTGACACCAACGATGGGGCACTATTCCTCCCACTGACACCAACGATGGGGCACTATTCCTCCCACTGACACCAATGATGGGGCACTATTCCTCCCACTGACACCAATAATGGGGCCGTATTCCCCCCACTGACACCAATGATGGGGCACTATTCCTCCCACTGACACCAGTGATGGGGCACTATTCCTCCCACTGACACCAATGATGGGGCACTTTTCCTCCCAGTGACACCAGTGATGGGACACTATTCCTCCCACTGACACCAGTGATGGGGCACTATTCCTCCCACTGACACCAATGATGGGGCACTATTCCGCCCACTGACACCAATGCTGGGGCACTACACCCCCACTGACACCAACGATGGGGCACTATTCCCCCCACTGACACCAACGATGGGGCACTATTCCCCCACCACAACGATGGGGCACTATTCCTCCCATTGACACCAACGATGGGGCACTATTCCTCACCAAGATGACACCAACGATGGGGCACTATTCCTCCCCCCACTGACACCAACGATGGGGCACTATTCCTCCCCCCACTGACACCAACGATGGGGCACTATTCCTCCCCCCACTGACACCAACGATGGGGCACTATTCCTCCCACTGACACCAACGATGGGGCACTATTCCTCCCACTGACACCAACGATGGGGCACTATTCCTCCCACTGACACCAACGATGGGGCACTATTCCTCCCACTGACACCAACGATGGGGCACCCTCCCACTGACACCAACGATGGGGCACTATTCCTCCCACTGACACCAACGATGGGGCACTATACTTCCCTCTGATATCAACGATGGGGCACTATTCCTCCCACTGACACCAATGTTGGGGCACTATTGCTCCCCTGATGCCAACGATGGGGCACTATTCCTCCCACTGACACCAATGATGGGGCACTATTCCTCCCACTGATACCAATGATGGGGCACTATTCCTCCCACTGACACCAATGATGGGGCACTATTCCTCCCACTGACACCAATAATGGGGCCTATTCCCCCCACTGACACCAATGATGGGGCACTATTCCTCCCACTGACACCAGTGATGGGGCAGTATTCCTCCCACTGACACCAGTGATGGGGCACTATTCCTCCCACTGACACCAGTGATGGGGCACTATTCCTCCCACTGACACCAGTGATGGGGCACTATTCCTCCCACTGACACCAGTGATGGGACACTATTCCTCCCACTGACACCAGTGATGGGGGCACTATTCCTCCCACTGACACCAGTGATGGGGCACTATTCCTCCCACTGACACCAGTGATGGGGCACTATTCCCCCCACTGACACCAATGATGGGGCACTATTCCCCCCACTGACACCAATGATGGGGCACTATTCCCCCCACTGACACCAATGATGGGGCACTATTCCCCCCACTGACACCAATGATGGGGCACTATTCCCCCCACTGACACCTATGATGGGGCACTATTCCTCCCATTGACACCAATGATGGGGCACTATTCCTCCCCCCACTGACACCAACGATGGGGCACTATTCCTCCCCCCACTGACACCAATGATGGGGCACTATTCCTCCCACTGACACCAATGATGGGGCACTATTCCTCCCACTGACACCAATGATGGGGCACTATTCCTACCACTGACACCAATGATGGGGCACTATTCCTACCACTGACACCAATGATGGGGGGCACTATTCCTACCACTGATACCAATGATGGGGCACTATTCCTCCCATTGACATCAGTGATGGGGCACTATTCCTCCCACTGATATCAATGATGGGACACTATTCCTCCCACTGACACCAATGATGTGGCACTATTCCTCCCACTGATACCAATGATGGGGGCACTATTCCTCCCACTGACACCAATGATGAGGCACTATTCCTCCCACTGCAAAATTACAGTTATGAAGTAGGAACGAAAATAATTTTATGGTTGGGGGTCACCACAACATGAGGAACTGTATTAAGGGGTCGCGGCATTAGAAAGGTTGAGAACCACTGCTTTAAATGGTCTCTTAGTCTGGTTCAGTAAGTTATAGGGGGAAGACAGCTGTCTTGACAGTTGTCCAGAAGACAGTCATTGACACCCTCCACAAGGAGGGTAAGTTACAAAAGGTTATTGCTAAAGAATCTGGC